CCATATGACGCCTGTGTACCTGTCACGAATGACGAAGATCTCTCGATCAGTACTGATCCCTTGATCAAGGATGTTCCTCGTATCGACAAAATCAAAGGTAACCAGATCTCCAAAAGCTTTGAGCTTTCTCTTGAACGCTCCTCGATGCGTCTTGAAGTGTTTCATCTTTGCTCTGATGCATGACTCACAGTAGGGATTCTTGTAACGATGTGTGAGTAGATGCTCGATTTTCCTGGCATCTGCTTTCAGAGTTCCTCTTCTCACCATTCTGCTTGCACCGTCAACAATATCCACCTCGATGTCATCTGCATCATCATCGTCAGCTTCTGGTTCACTGTCTCCGGCGACATCTGATCCTACCTCATCTTCTTCTCCAGGAGATGCCTTGAACTTCTTATTCCTCTTTCGCCTTTTGACTTTTGGAGGCTCAATCACAGGAAGGTCGTCATCATCACACATGATTCCTTGAGGATCCACATCACAGTTGATGAAAGTCGATTGGTAATCAGCTTCATCTTCTCCTAGGGTGAACCTTGCGATCATCTCCGCCCTTGTATCGTCGGTGGGAGTACAGAAGTCACTGCCCTTGACAATATATGGGATGTTTCCCTCTACTTCTAACATGATTTTCTTGTAGTTCGGGGAAACCATGTACGGGTTGCCGCAGGCTGGCCATATGAATGTGTATCCTTCCTCCATGCATTTCTTTCCAACAGACAGTACTGAAGGAGACTCATCTAGGACGAATGGGGAGTAGGTAGAGTCAAATTCGTCGAAATGAATGTCGGCGACTCCTTTTGTGGATGTCACTCCATTTGCGGTATAGAATGACATTGATTGGTCGCTTTCTCTCACTTCCAGACCTAATTTCTTGGCTCTGCCTTTCGATATCAAATCATACCCACATCCTGTGTCCATGATGAACTTTGTTCTTGACCCTTTGGCTGGAATAGACAATGTCTTTGTGTCTGCATGATCTTTCTTTCCCTCGCATACATGAGGAATGACTTTATGATGGAAAACTAGGCCGTCATCTTCGTCAAAAGACATAGTGACCGCTAGGTCACCCTTTGGTCCAACTGGTATTCGGACCCTCTTGATCTCAGTGTAGGGGACCATCAATATGCCTCTTGCCTCTGCGACCTTTTCTTCAAATCTGATTTGTTCTTTCCTCGTGTAGCAAGTGAGCTCTTTCTCATCGTATCGTTTGATGTCTGGACGTAGAGGTTTCCTTTCTACTACCTTCCATTTGTTCCTGACTGAGTAGATCGCTTCGTTCAACATGATCTCACAAGTCTCTTCATCAAAGGATACTTTTGCACCTCCTTCTCTTGCCTTGGCGGATGCAGCAATCCCTTCATCTTCGGATTCGTCCATGAAGAGTTCGCCGTCAATGGCTGGGGCTCCAGGCTTCGCCTTAGGCTTCGGTTTGGGTTTTGCCTTGGGCTTTGGCCTATCGTCTCCTGAGTCAGCTGGTGCAGATATCCCTTTCTTAGGAGAGGCTTTTGGGTCATGGTAGAACTTGCAATCCTTCCCTTTGTCACAAGTTCCTCGAATCCACATCCAACATACTGGCTTGTCATTCTTTCCGACAGAAGATCCTCTGGATGGTGATCTGGGTTTCTTGTGACTGAATGGGCAATCTTTCCCCATAGTGCAGTTACCTTTCACGAAGTATTTGCACGGTATCTTCTTCTTGTCTGTACTCGGACTTCGGCTGCGATCCTTTCCATCACCTTTACCTTTCCCCTTTCCTTTTTTGTTCTTGTCTTCAGGATGCTTCTTGGGATTGGGTTTCGGCTTCACTGCAGCAGCGTCTTCTGAGACAACCTGTTCTTGTTGCCCTTTTGGTTTCTTCTTCGGATCAGCTGGTGCAGCTTTCAGTTTTGGAGCAGGTCCGCCTGGTTTGAGATTCTGAAAGATATTGGCCACATTCTTCACTGCCTTCTCCTTTTCCAGGATCATCCTGTCTTCAGTTTGCCGTTCGATGTGCCTTCTGATCATATCACGTAGATGTTTGTATGTCTTCTTGGCATCATCGTCGTTCATGCTGTTGTAGGCGCTGATGTCGTATGCCATGAGGTTTGAGTTCCTGATCTTTCTCCATAGGAGATCCCGAAGAGTTTCGTCGCTCGGGACGTCAACGGGCTTCATTCCTGCCAGAATCTCATCCCAAGTGTGGAAGAACAACGATAAGTTCTTGTCTCCTTGATATTCTAGTTGGTAGAGGTGCATTGAGGTATATAAGACTTCCACATTTGATGTTGTCTTGAAATTCATAAGGATCAGGGCTAGGACCTCTCTTCCCTTTATGAGGCTTGATGTTCTCCCTTTTGCATTGATCCTCGTCCTCAACTTCATAGCTACACCTGAACCATCATCTTTCGCATCCATGACGACCTTGGTAAGAGCTAGGCCGAGTTTGGCATCGATTGAATGGAATCTTTGGTCTCCTGAGTCGACAAACTTGTCCGGATCAGGATCGTCCATGGCTTCTTTGATCCAGTCGATCCAGGGCTCTTGATCTGAATCATTGGCCGCAATGATGATCGATTGAATGAGATTTGCCTTCCATAGTCCAAGATCATTGATCCTGGGCCATGACGGAACGTTTATCTTTGATTCTTCCTTCCTCGATACTTTCATGATTGTAGAGGTTGCCGGTGCAAGATGAGATGAAGAGGATGCTTCTGCTTCTGAAATCTTGTCCCTCAATGATTTGTTCGCCTCGGATAGCTCAATTGATTTCTCCCTTTCCTCGGCGTACTCATTGTGGGTTTCGGCATACCATTTATACATCTCATCTCGGCTCTCTGTCATTTCATTGTACCCGTCCTTGTAGTGCTTCGCCTCCTCTTTTGCGTTCCGAATCTCATCTTCCTCGGACGCGTGGGTTGGTAACCCGCGGTCTCTGGAGCTAGGACGCTTGCTGTACCGAGAGACTATGGGTGCCATTCGTGCTTCTGCTTTTAATTTCGCATTTTCCATAATGACATTCTTTGTCTCCTTCTGGCTTTCCAATAGTGCATTCTCCAGTTCTCTGATCTTCTGTTGAATTTCAGCACCATCATCGCCGAACATAGGAGCTCTCATCATTTCTCTCTTTTCAGCTGTGCGTTGGCTTCGGATAGAGCGAGGTTGGCGTCTTTCAACTGTTGTCGTTCACGGATGGAACCTTCTAGGACTTCGTTGTTGAATATTTCTCCTTTCGCGATAACCTCCTTTGCGACGTTTGCTTCGTATTCATGGTGGCTCGCCTTCATTTCTGCCATTTCTTTAGCAGAGACTTCAGTCTGGCATACAAATATCTCCATCCTCATGCCCACTTCCATCTCTTCTATCTCCGCTCTCGCGTTGAGTTCAGCTCCACGTGCCATAGCTAGTTGACCTCGTAGATGATCAATAACCATAGCTTCCTGATTGCTGTGATCTTGAGATGAGTGAACACTGTGTTGAAGACGTCTTTCCCTGACCTCACTGTTCCATTGTTCTTCTCTCTGGTGTTGGATCACCTTGTGCATGTTGACATTCTCATCCTGTAGCGCAATCATTCTAGCTTGTATCTGGTCAGCTATTCCGACGAAGGCTGTGTTCTCATCCTGAATGGCTTTTGATCTTCTATTGATCGCCAATGAAGATTCATTCTGTTCTTGGATGTGTCCAATTGCTGCTTGAAGCTCTTGGGACATTCTGTCCTTCGTTGCTTTCACAGATTCAAGCTCTGAATGTTCTTGATGAGTTTCTTGCGCAAGCTCTTGATATCTCATGTAGATATGTTCAGCTGTCGATTCCGCCAAGCGTAGCTTGTGTTCGAGCTCTTTAATTCTTATTGTCGCTCCTTCATCTTCCTGTGTCATCTCTTGTAGATGTTCCTGCATCTTCCTGTTGTAGTCAGACATTTGCCTGAACTCCACTTCAGCCTCGTGGTGTAGTCGTGAGTATCCGGCTTGGATGCATTCATATTCTTCATGAAGAAAATTGTATGCGTTTCTCGCCGATCTCAATTCTTCACCCAGCTGAATCTCTCTTCTTTGCCCTTTTGTTCCTCTATCATCGTCACGTCTCTTCTCTATACTCCTTCTTGGGGATCTCGTGGTAGACGTTATAGGCGATGTAGATCTTGTTGTAGCTCTCATCGATCTTCTTGGTCCTACGGGTGCAAGATCGGTCAGATTCCGAGCCGGTGGCACGGATCTTTCCGAGATTTGTGATCCAGTAGGCATAGTGATAACGTCAGCATTTGCTGATGAATCAGTACCCATTGTAGAGTCTGGTGACGAAATGGTGTTGGGACCACCAGGAGCAGCGAATGAATAGGGTTCGCTTCCATTTCCTCCTGAGCTTGACATTGCAGGTTTCTGTAATGACTAGTCTTGTTCTTGGTCTCGTGTAGCTCGTACGGCTATAAAGAGCGCGTACGGCTGATAACCTGCGAGTGGATCTTAATCAGCGAAGTTTGAAGCTATCACTGACGGTCCATAAGCGGCGTAGCGTCGGAACGGAAACCGCACCTTTTCTAGTCGCTTGATCCTTGAGCCAAAGTACATATGGTACATATATATGTACAAGTTGCACTGTACGTGTCGCTGCACTTCCATTCGCAATGATAAGTCATACACCAACCACTGTTTACACATGTTTACACCAACCCACGGTTTGCACCAACCACCATTTAAACCAATCCACGGTTTACACCCACCACGGTTTACACCAAACCACGGTTTACAGGAAATAAGGTTTACAAGCACCCCCAGCACTTGCTGATGCTTTTTGATGACGACACGTTGCTCGACCGGCAGGATTCAGCCATGGTGGGCGGCGGCACACGCCAGCGGCAGTTAAATAAAAATAAACAAATGATGGACAAAGGACAAACAAGAACCAAATACCCACGGCATAGCAAGTGCTGATGAGGAAATCAATGAATATCTTTTCTGTGCAAAATTAGTCCACTTTTCGTCACATGTTTGTCGATCCACTGAACCCTAGTGTTGGATCTCCTGGGCAAGCTCGCTCGGGGCATCTTTGTGAGCTCCTGACACTGCCGGAACTTTTGACCAAAAGGACCTTTGGATTATCTCTGGATTATCTCTGTTTTTGTCCTATCAGGTTGTCACTGATTTGCTGTCTTGTTTTTTCTCTTTGTGTAGACCCTTGCAATCCGTTAGTTTAGAGCTTTACTTTTTCGGAGTCTTGGAAAAAATGTTTACATTTTGTGCTTTCCTTGTCTGCTTCACAGAGTTGCTTGCAAGCTGGGCGTGTCCTGTCTTGGGCAAAGCAGCTCCGTCAGATTTCTCTGCCTGCACAAGCAGTTTGCCCTTGGAAACACGAAGCCTATCTACTGTATATAAGCTACCCTTTCCAAGCCATTCAACATTTCTCCGCCTTCATTTCTTTTACCTTTGATTGCAGCGATGCAAGCAAATCACCAAAGTCCTGAAAGGATTGAAGCATAGCGGCTCTGTCAACTGTCAACTAAAGATCTTGCAGGGAACAGTACGGTTGCCGCTCATATGTCGTGCTCTGCCATTGAAGGGTGAGGATAGAAAATACCATTTCAGCTAACAACCCATTTGGCCGCATCCCTGTGGAAGATGCGTAAGTTTCTACCAAAGAATGTAATGTAAACCTTGGTCAAGGCCCAAATACGCAGGCAGTGAACATGCCCAACATGTCGAGCCTTTGTTGCAGTTCCATGGAACGATTGATCTTGACACAGGTGTCGCTACAGCACCCAAGTCTCAAACACCTCAACTACATCCTATCAAGCCCCCCTGTAACTATCTCAAAGCCCACTAATTAGGACAACTTGGTGTTGAACATTGTTGAACTGACCAAACAAGTTTAATGTGTTTCCCAATGATTCCTTAGGGTGATGTACATTTGAAAAGATATACGGAAACGCTTTCTGCATGCCTCCACATCCCACAATGCGAAAGTTGTTATCCTTGTTGCGCCGTTCCATGCTGCTAGCTTCTTGTAAAACGGCCTCACATTCAGCGGCCTCAGAGAGTGATGAAGCAACTTTGCCTGCTTACTGTGCACACTGTCTTGCTGTCTGCTGCAGTGCATAAATGTCTGTTTGTTGAATCATCAATTTGCTAGTGCCTTGCGATGATGCACCTCCAGCTTACTTTGAAGTTGACCCAGCAACTCCTGATCTCAGAAAAACTGCACTCTGCGAATTCAAGGAGTTGGTTTACCGATCTAGAGCTTATTGAAATCAACATGAGGGCATTTGAAAACCTCGAGGCAAGAGCGACAGCGAGGATTGCCAACGTGGAAGCTTTTTTTTGACTCTCCATTGCTATCCCGTGCTGGTCTTGATTCAGCCACCAAACACAGAATGGGCGGTAATGGGCAACAACCCTCTACAACGAAGAAAAACAGTGCTACTCTGTGTCACTTGCGAAGGAAAAGCAGGTTCTAAATCCCGTCTGCTGGGTCGGTCAAATACTTTTTTCCCCAAATTTAGTGTCTAGGGATGAATTCTCTGAATCAGACACAAATCCACCACTAAACCGGCGGAACCCAGTTTGATGCTTCTTGTGCCAAGTCAATGCAATCATTTGCAGCCACCTTGTCCTTTCATGTCCTTTCGTTACCTTTCTCGCAATGTCTCGCAGTCCTTCTGAGTCAAGTTGTTTTGGCGCAAGGTCACAAGTTCCCGTTGCATTGAGTCAGGGCTTGACCTGGTCAAATGACATCTCATGCCGGGAACTGCAGACTTCCCTCTGGTCACAAAAACGCCTCAAATGTCTCCCAAGGGCCTCTGCTTCTCTTGCTCATACTGCTCGCCATTTTCTTTGCCTGTTACCTGGACAATTGAGCGTTGCTCAAAACCTGTCTTTGAAGCGAAGTTTCGTAAGGAGGTGCTTACGCACACGCTTACGCGGAGCTTACGCAAACAAATACGGACAAAATGTCTCCACCACACCACAACATGAGCTTACGCACTTGACTTTTTACATCTTTTTACTTGGCGCCAACATCAAAAAATGGAAGCAAGCACACATGCAAGCGCTACACAGCCAAACAATGCTTACGCAACCTTACGCAATTCAGGTTGTTGCTTACGCACAGTCTCCTTGAAGCCTTGTGAACATGTCCTTACTAAATATGAACACCTAGGTTTTGAACGATGCTCAATTGCTATCAATGTTGGAGTTAGAGCCAAGTCTGAGTCAGCGTGAATTGGATAGGTATTGCCTGAAACCGAGATTCCCAATCTTGAAGAGCACTTTCCTTTGCCCGCAGCGATACCTGCAATGAGTCATTGAGGGGGCAATGCTTGACAGGCAATTCTTACGTGATGGTTGCTGCCTGCGTGCATGACACTTGCCTTCCTGTTGAATCTTTGATGGTCTTTGATGTTGAAATGAAGGCGACGGCTCGTTCAGACTATCCGCTGGCACACAAATGTGCATAAGCACATTGCAAATGGCAAACGCGTCTCTCATGCCTGCAAATCCAGCACCAGTCGCTCAAGCCCTTCGACCCGCTGCCGCAGATCCTTCTGCATGCAACGTGAACTCACACAGAGCTACTCAGGTACTCCCACCGGCCTTGGTGGTACAGGTAGGGACATGAGGGTCCAGTGAATGCTGTGGAGGTTGGGCGCACTGCGCCCAGGCCGAGGCAGTCCAAAGCTTCGGTGGACTATTCTGTAGATCTATATATTTGTGTGTATGTATATATATGGTAATGTGTGAAATGACGAAATGCACTCAATGGAAACCTCTGCAAAAACAAAATACTGAATCTATGCTGAATCTGTGGAACATTTTTGGTCACCTGAACTAAACAATCAGCGACCTAGAATGCCCAGCGCACAAAACAATCCAAAAAACCAGCCCAGATTGCTAAGTTGCAAATTTCCCAAATCTACTACAACACATCAAATGGTGGGCCGTAAGTGAACTTGCCCACAATTGATAGAACCCTCGTCTGGTGGATAGCCCGTGGCCTTGCCAGCAAAGCTGGGGTCCGACATATCTTCAAATGACGTTGAAAATTTCAAATTAATGATTTCGTCTCAACCGACACAAGTTTCCCCAAGTTCAAGGAATTTCAGTCCTCTGGGTGTCCGGGGGATGGCAGTGAGTCTTTTGCAGGATCCTCAATTTCTTTCACTCAGAATCCTTTTTTAAATCACAACAACATGGGAATGGATCAGCCAAACAAACAAACAAATAATTGTCCTCCACCGGAATGTTGGTTGCAGGTATGTTTTCTGCAGCGTCCTCATCACAAACAATGACAGTAATTTGAAGCGTTCAACGATAAATGCACATCACGTCAGCATTTCCGACTTGGTAAATGTTGGTAATGTGCCAGGCCCTTCTCGCGAAAGGGTGCAAGCAACGCACACATTGTCTGTTGCTGTCAGGCAATTACAGTAGTCATTAGAACCTGCTGTGAACAAGCTGGCTCCGCAATACCGTGCAAACATTGAAGAATTTTCGCCGCTTAAATTCCAGCGTAGGGGAGCACAGGTGGGCAAAGACCGACTGCCAAATTTGTAGCGAAGTCGCGCATCTTTTTAGACATGCAAAATGAGTCTAATGTTGCAGTTCATGTACACTAGACGACGGTTGGCCCGAGAGCGAGACAGGTGATTGTCCAGCACTGTCGGGTCATGAAACACTTAAAATCGAGTTGTCCAAGAGCCATGCCTTCTTTATACAATCTGTTATTGAGTAAGACGTTGCGAAGAAATTAAATTGAAACTATTAAGAGAACAGATATGTAGAAAGAGAGAAAGAGAGGGCGGATGTGAAGGAGTGACAGTGTCGATGTGCAGGTGTGATATAGATGTGCAGATGTGTGGAGGTGGAGAGGTAGATCTGCGGATGTGAGCGTGTGAAGATGTAAATGTACAGAGGTGAGTGGGTGTAGACGTAGATGCGTAGATGCAACGGCAGCGCAACGTTAACCTTGGTTGCGCAAGTGCCACGCTGAAGAGGTTCGAATTAAACTGAAGAACGTACATTTCATACTGAAGTCTCCACAAAATGGACGTATAGGGCCCAGGGCGACCTGAGAGCAAACGATGTCATGATCATGACAAACGAATCACGTATTCCAGAGAACATCGTTTGCCATGAAGTTGAAGTACACACATACTAACGTCACGATGACTCGTTTTTGGAAACCGCTGATCGCGTCATTTGAGTGACGATGTCGTAGGTTCGTCCCGAACAGTTTCGACGGACGAGCGCGCAAACCTTCCAGGCGCCATAACGCTTCCAAGACATAGGGTCGATTGCGCCAAGGACCCAAAGCTGGTCTTTTTGGAAGCAGCAACTGCACGGCCTCCTGTGCGGAATGTTCGTAAGCTACAACGAGCCAAGCGCACAAAATCCCCGCACTCCGATCGCGCGCATGGATTTGTCCTTGGTGACCGCCAGCATGGACTGTTCCCACAACTGGTTGCGAACGATTTTCCACTGTCTCAAGCCAACGCTTTGCTCCGCAGAGGGTTGCGTTTCGCGGTGCTCCGGCGGCACCGCCCCCGGCCTTAAGAGAGAAAGTAAAGAAGAGCGAGAGGTGAAGATGTGAGATGTGCAGATGTGACAATGTGAAGATGAGCAGAGATGTAGATGCGCAGATGTGAAGATGAGAAAATGTAGATGTGCAGTGATGATGTAGATGTGCAGTGATGATGTAGATGTGCAGATGTGAAGATGTAGATAGACGTAGTTCTGCAGATGTCTTTTTTTTGAGAACCCTTCGCAGACGCTCTCGGGAAAAAATGTAGGTCATGACTGCGTTCCTGAGTCTAAAAGGAACAAAACAAGGAAAATAATATGCACCAATGTCGCAGCCAGAAATGTTTTGCATCGTTGGTCGCAAGTTGAGGGTCCAGTCTGTTGGCGTTGTCTATCAACGGAGCATTGACAGTCAACGCCGGCCTTATAGTCTGAAACAGGTTCTGATACGGTCGGCTGCTGCGCGCAGCTATGTGCAAAGCTATGTGCGGAGAGCATCTTGCCCAGTGGCTGGAGATCCCTCAACCACCCTCGACAAACTGGCAGGAAAGCGCGGAAAGCTGATGCACATGATGCACCCCAGCTCGGGCGGTGTTCCGCCTTGCAGCACATTTCCATCATCCTCCCAAAAGCGCGGATATTCTGCCAACCACACCGCATCCACAGCATTTCCTCGTTCCCTGATCCGTTGGAAAAAGAACCAGGGGCCAAGCAGAGAAAATGGACGCAGTATAATTACAGCGCGAGAGTGAGGGAGAGAGGAGAGAGGAACCTTGGAATCCAAAAACATGTTTTTAGAATTCTTTAGAATGCTCTAGAAGGGCCCCCTACACGGCAAGCAAATTGATCTTCACATCGACGGTGGGCTTCTGTTTGTAAGAGGAACCCGTTGCATGCAAAAATTAAAGGGCCGGATAACCCCACATATGAATCTTTACGAATCTTAAGTTTCTAAAGCACAAAGCAGTCAGAGTCTCAATAGCTTCTACAACACGGCCTTGTCAGGAAGTGATATCAGCTTCCGACAACAGAGGGGTGGGAGAGAAGGTGTAAGAGAGTGATGTGCACGACGGATGTACGAGGTATTGTGCACACAGGTGTGCGCAGCCACAACTAGCCAACAACACCAGCGGTTGTCGCACGTCCGCAATATGGGGCATAATGTACGAAAGTTGTACTACAAAGTCGCCAGTTCTCAGCTTCCAGCTCCACAGATTGCT